GATAAGTAATGTAATACTGGGTTAAAAGAAGAAAATTGGGCAATGCAATTGAATAGCAGTTCTGCTTCCTTATAGAAATTTAGTACATTTAGAAATTTAGCATGTAGCAAATTAATAGTTGTAATGGGAAAGGATACTCTTAGGAAGTACTGTAAAAACAGTAGTCTGAGGAGCCTTGGGTTTTATTCTCACACAGCCACCCAACTTTGAGGAAGTGACCCCCCCTAACCTTCATTAACTTCACCTGTCAAATTGAGACCACTGTTTCCTGGGTGTTTTATGTACCGACTTGTGCATTTGTGATGCAAAGGTCCTGCTTCCTTCTCCCTTTCCTTCCCTCTTCCCCTCATAAGACACTTTAATGATAAATATTCTACACCGGGACCAACATTTCAAAAGTGGTTCATATGATAACACCAGTTATCATATTTGTAATATATGTAAATTATCTGGCAATATTTGTAAAATATTTGTAAAATATCTGGCACAGGGCAAGGCACATCAAAAGTGGACAGTAAATGTTAGTTCCTTTCACTCTAGTTGGAATCTTTAGGCTGGCTGATTCCATATTTAATTCTAGGTCTTCCTTTGGATTCTTAGAACTGTATATTCTTGTTATTGGAGTACATCCCTGCTTTCTCTTAGACCATAAACTCTTAAGAGTGTTTTCCCCGTGACATTTGTCATAATGATTTATTCATTGCTTGTGTTCTATAAACGTTTGTTTAAAATTCAGCAGGCATTTAAGTACCTATTATGTTCAGTGCATGAAGTTAAACACAGAAAACAAAGTAAAGGAAATGGAAAGGCATATTCTAGCTGTATGCTTACTTTTACTTACTTTTAAAGAGATGCAGGTATATTTAATATGATAGATTTGAATTTATGAAAATAAAAGAAGTTGGCACCCTGAAATGTAATAAAATAAATATGGAAAGGAATGTTAAAAATAACAAAAAATATTTTACCAACATGTCTGATAAAAATCCTTCTATGCAAAATAAATGAATATTTGATAGATAGAAATATTTGGTTTGTAACAGGACCTAAGAGTAAGAGCACCTTACTCTTTTGGTGTTCTCTGTTTGATAATTGGAGGAGAGAAGCAGTTCACACATGAAGAAATATTAATAGAAATAATATGAAGAATGTGTAGTTAATTCTGCAATTAATGTAGCTCAGACATTTCCACAGCAGATTTATTCTGAAAGAGACTTTACTCAAGAAATGTATAATGTAGTACAAAAAAAAATTAGTACAAAAGCATTAAAAACAAAAACAATAAAAGATTCTAATCCCTTTTTTTCTAAGCCTTTTAACTTCCATGGTAGCTTTCTAAAATAGATTTTATTTTTAGAGCAATGTTGGTGTTATAGCAAAATTCACTGGACACTTCAGAGATTTTCCATATCCCCCTGCCTCCGTGTGGACACAGCCTCCCCTTCTCGGGAAGCTCTGTACCGGAGCAGGTCATCTGTTACAGTGGATGCGCCGGGGCGGACCCGTCATTATCGCCCAAAGCTCATCGTTTATGTTAGGGTTCACTCTTAGTGTTGTAGATTCTGTGGGTTTTGACAAATATAGAATAACATATATTCACTATTACAGTATCACAAAGAGTAGCTGCATTGCCTTAAACATACTCTGTGCTCTGCCTGTTCATCCCTCTATCCCGCATAATCCTGGCAATCAGTGATCTTTTTTTTACTATCTCTGTAGTTTTGACTTTTCCAGAATGTCATATAGTTGGAATTACACATATGTAGCCTTTCGAGATTTACTTTTTTCTTTTTTTTCACTTAAGTTTTCTCCTTGTGTTTTCATGACCTGATAGCTCATTTCTTCTTAGTGCTGAATAATATTCCATTGTTTGGATGTAACACAAATTATCCATTCACCTACTGAAGGACAATTTGGTTTCTTCTAAGTTTTGGCAATTTTGAATAAAGCTCCTATAAACATTCTCTAAGCTGCTTTTTGTTCTCTGGAGCTTAATTTCCTCATTTGTAAATTTAACTGATGAGTGCTAAGGATTCTGAGGTTTGAAATTATGTAACTATATAGGTAAAAATCATGAAATACTGTTTTATAAATTATGAATAACTTAGATATGCCTGTATGCTGATTACATTTTAAGTTGGTAAAGGCTTTCTGGTATAAAGCAGTTTGGTCCTGTATAACAAAAATTATAATCTGTTCTTATGCTTTCATCAAATCATTCTATTTTGGGGGTATGCTTCAAGTAAACCCAAAAGGGGGTTAAAAACATCTTTTACTTAAATAAAGATTTTCATAAAGTAATTTGTAAAAGCCATTCAAAAGTATAAAAACAATTCAAATGCCCAGTACTGGGGAAATGCAAAGTAATTTGCGTGAGGGTGGGGATCATGACTCTCTATTGTGACTAGTGGGTCCCTAGCACCTTACTCTTTTGGTGTTCTAAATATTTGTTGACTATGAAACATTGAAAAGAGAACTTAAGGAAAGAAGAAGAGCTTTTACTGAATATAAAAGATTATAGGCGATAACATTCTGTTCTTCCCTTTGCTGCTTTGCATCTCACATTGCTAAACTCAGCCGTGCCAGCTGTTCCCTGCTGGACTCCATTCTTGTCCTTTTTACAGATACCATTTAAGGCCCTAGGCATGTGATGTAACAGCCATGACAGATCAGCTTCTTACTTGGAAAAATATATCTGTGTAGTTATAAAGGAGTAAAAAGTTGACTGTATATCCCAACTTTGCTAGGACAGTCTCAGATGATGCCCAATGACTCAGTGTAAATTTTAATAGCATGTCATTTCACTCTGAAAGGTATTCTGGTCTGGACAGTAGGTGAGCATTTAGCTGAGGGCCTGACTGTCTCCTTATTTTAGTGCTATAGTTAGGAAACAGTTTTTTGTTTTTTCAGTTCAGCTTACTTTAAGGAACATTTACTTAACATACTCATTCATGTAAGATGTGAAATACAAAGAAAATTCAGACAAGGCCCTGTCACCAAAGAATTTCACTTTAATGCTTTTTCTTCTTTAGTGTATTTCAGTAACTCTTAGCCTCATTCAGAGTCAGAAGTGCTCCTAGACTCAAGTTCCCTCCCTTGCTTGATCCATTTAGAAGGCCTTCTTCTGGCTTGCCTCCGGCGGCATGCTCCCCGTTCTGTGGAACTTCAGGGAATTTACCCACCTAAGAATCAGTGCCCCCCCCCACACCCTCACCCCCACCACAGCGCTGTAGGTCTTTAGGCTAATGGAGTTCCTCGCCCAAACACTGTTGAGCCTGCTTCCAGTACCTGTGTGGATCTCTTCCCTTGGACACACACACACAGCGACTGACCTACACAGTGCAGGTGAGGCAGGGAGGAGAGGAGAAGGGAGCAGACAGCAGGCCAGTGGCAGGGGCTGAGGTAGGCTCCCCCTAACCTGAGATGTTTCAGAATTCAAGAATTCTAACTTTGGTACCTGGCCTTTAGGGTCATTTTGAATGTGTGGGAGTATAGAACGTATTTTATATAGTAATTAATGAGCTTGACTTACAGTTTTCATATTTAAACAAATGGTATCTGAGCCTCCATTTGGGTTCTTGCCATGGACTACACAATTATCTGAGGCAGGCCTACTCAGGGTAAAACCTAAAAGCATTATCTGCCATGTCCTGAGAGATCCTGCATAGCCTGCCCTTACCCCCGAGACTCCATTCTGCTCCCACTCTGCTGGCCCCCTCATCGTGCCAGACTGCGCCGGGACTCACTGTTGTTGCTGCTTCTTGGAATGCTTGGTGTCCATGTGACCTCTTTCCTCATGTCCTCAGGTCTTTTCCTTCTATTCCCCAAAGTCATTTTATCAGTGAGACCTTGCCTGGGCAGACTTCCTAAAATTTTATTACTCCCCCAAGCACTGACTGCCCCCTTCCAGGCTTTATTTACTTCCTTTAACCATGTCACTGTCAAAAAATTAGAGGTAATAAAAAACTAAACTTTTTTTTTTTTTACCCTGAATGTGTTTCTTTTTAAATGCTTTAGGTATTAAGACTTTTTTCCTAAAAATTATTTTTAATTTTTAGTTTTTTATCTTAAAGTCATTCGTGAACCCACTTTAAAAAATCACATAGTTCTCTAAGGCTAGTTACTTAAAGCAGTAGGCCCCCTACTCTGCCCTCAGTTTCAAAGGATGCCATTTTCAACTCTCTCAGTCTTTTGATATTTCCTATCATTCTACCTAACACACATATTGCTATTACCTAACTTTTCAGTTTTAGGCATTGTCTATTTACTTTCCCCTAAAGAGGATGAGAATTAAGCTCCCCCTTATCCCTGTTACACCCTGTGCATGCGTGCACAGGTATCCAGCTCTCCCTTTTTCCAGTATGGTTCAGTTCTGACTGTGGTTAGATCAAGACTTAATGTTCTAAAAATTGTAAGCAGTAGTCACAGCTCAGCCATGTAGTGTACTGTGATTAGTTTTCCTTTCCTTGCGGCATTTTATTTTTCTTGGAGTTAAAAATTGTCATGATTTTGATCTGCTTAGGTTATTTGCTTTTCTAGGTTATTAGCCCTAGTTCCACTGCAGACGGTCCCTGTTATGTATATTTTCTTTCAGTATGTTCAGACATCTGTTTTCTATTTTTTTCTTTTTCTTGAAAAAAAATCTCTCTAAGTCTTTACATCTTTTCTAATCTGAACCATTTTTCTCAGGGTTGGCCTGAGTTTGACTGAAATAAAAGAGATTTTGTTTATTTCCACTGGGACATTGGGCGGTTGTTGCAGATACAGTTTCCCCCCCGCCCCCCAAATATATTATTATGTGAACAAATTTTGAAAATATAACTATTTACCATGAATTTGTCTATGGTTCTCTTTTATATGTTGTAATTAAGATATCTTTTATTAAAAAATACAGAAAGTATTCTTATATTATTTTGCATAGAGCATATTAAGAATTATTGGAATATGTATATAATTGTTTTGTATTCTTTTTTGTATTCTGTTCTATTCTTTCTTTATAGGCTCTCAAAATTAGAGAGATGTGTAATTGCCCACCACTTTCTGGACCAGACCCTCGATTAGTGTTCAAACTCACCATGAAGCATTTTCTTGAAGAGTCAGAGAAAGAGGACCCAAAAAGCACTGTTAAGAAACAGAAAGTGGATACTCTTCCCGTTCAAAAACAGAAGCAAATACCGTTAACATAAATAGCTGAGAAGAGAACTGGCAATTGAATTGAAATATATGAGATACCAGATATATGAAGAACATTGCAATCCTTATCATTTTTATGTTACTTTTAAAAAAAATCTTTGAAATGAAAAAAATTGATATTCACAGTCAAATCATGTATATTACAGGTATTACCTAAATTCTTCTAGGTATTTTTCATGAAATATTGATGTATTCAAATCTATTTTAAAGTATCTTCAATGAGGGAAATGTCAAAGAATAAATTTATATTACACATTTTACCCATTTCGTACTTTTTATTTGGAAGGCAAACCTCTAGTGGATGAGAAATCAGAATATGTAGTAATTGTTATTGTAGAGAGGGTTTCAGCTGAGCCTAAAATGGATTTCCTAGCCTGGGTGATTATCATGAACTGGGAAATCGACAATCTAAAGCGTCTTTTTACAGAAATTGGTTTGCATTGGGGTGGATCATGTTGAATAAGGGACCTTGGGAGAGAGAATTTATTGATCTTTACTATGGACAAGGAAGGAAAACAGCTATAGGAAGAAGCTAAAGAAGCTGCTTTCATAGGGAAGCACAAGTAATTCTATTTGTGGTCCAAGTGACTAAGTGAGAAACAAAACGGGGAGAGGGGATCGTTTCCTTGTAGACACAGTGTGCTTCTGGTGCCCTGAAGTCTTTTTTCTTCTTTTCTTAATTGTTATTCTTATTATAGTTGTCCCAATTTTTCCCCCTTTGCCCTCCTCCACCCAGCCCACCCCCCTGCTCCCATATTCAGCCTCCACGCCATTGTCCATGTCCATGAGTCGTTCATACGTGTTCTTTGGCTAGTCTCTTCCCCCACTTGCTGCCGTTATTGCTCTCCCTCCTCCCCTCTGGCCACTGTCAGCCTGTTCCATGCTTCATGTCTCCGGTTCTATTTTGTTCATTAGTTTATTTTGTTCATTAGATTTGGTATTTGTCTTTCACCGTCCGGTTTATTTCACTTTTCATAATGTTCTCCAGTTCCATCCATGCTGTCACAAAAGGTAGGAGTTTCTTCTTTCTGCTGCGTAGATTCCATTGTGTATATGTACCACAGTTTTTTGATCCACTCATCTACTGATGGGCACTTAGGCTGTTTCTAGCACTTGGCTGGAAAATAGCACTGCTGTTTTCCACAGCACGGGGGTGCATAGGTTCTTTTGAATTGGTGTTTCCAGATTCTTAGGGTAAAATCCCAGCAGTGTAATGGCCAGGTCAAACGGCAGTTTCATTTTTCATTTTCTCAGGAAATTCCACAGTTGCTGCACCAGTCTGCCTTCCCACCAACAATGTACTAGGGTTCCCTTTTCTCCACAACCTTGCCAACACTTGTTTGTTGATTTGTTTATGATGGCCATTCTGACTGGTGTGAAGCAGTATCTCATTGTGGTTGTGATTTGCATCTCTCTCTGATGGCTAGTGATGCTGGGCATCCTTTCATATGTCTCTGGGCCCTGTGTAGGTCCTCCTTGGAGAAGTGTCTGTTCAGGCCCTTTGCCCATTTTTAATTGGATTGTTTGTCTTCCTGGCATGGAGTCGTGTGAGTTCTTTATATATTGTGGAGATCAGACCCTTGTCAAGGTTATCATTAAATATATTTTCCCATACGATTGGTTTCCTTTTTATTTGGCTGATTTTTTTCTTTAGCTGTGCAGAAGCTTTTTATTTTGATGAAGTCCCATTTGTTTATTCTTTCCACTATGCCCCTTGCTCTAAGGGACATATCATTGAAAATATTGCTGTGTGGAATATCAGATATTCCTGCCTGTGTTCTCTTCTGGGACTTTTATGGTATTGTGACTTATATTTAAGTCTTTTATCCATCTTGAGTTTATTTTTGTGTACAGCATAAGTTGGTGGTCAAGTTTCATTTTTTTGCATGTAGCTGTCTAGATCCCCCAACACCATTTATTAGAGGCTATTTTATGCTTCTGTCCCCTTTGTCAAATATTAATTGACTGCAGAGACACAGGTTTATTTCTGGGCTCTCTATTCTTTTCCATTGATCTATATGTCTGTTCTTATGCCAGTACCAGACTGTTTTGATTACGGTGGACTTGTAATATAATTTGATATCATGTATTGTGATCCCTCCTACTTTGTTCTTTCTTAAAATTGCTGTGACTATTCAGGGTCGTTTATGGTTCCATATAAATTTTTCAAATGTTTGTTCTATATCTGTGAAATATGTCATTAGTATTTTAATAGGGATTGTATTGAATCTCTAAATTGCTTTGGGAAGTATGGGCATTTTGATGATGTTAATTCTTCCAACCCATGAACATGGTATATGCTTCCATTTACTTGTGTCTTCCTTAATTTCTTTCTTCAGTGTTGTACAGTTTTCTGAGTACAGGTCTTTTACTCCTTGGTTAGGTTTATTCCTAGGTACTTTATTTTTCTTGTTGCTGTAGCAAATGGGATTCTTTTTCCTGATTTCTGTTTCTGATATTTCATTGTTGGTGTACAAAAATACCTTCATTTCTGAATGTTGACTTCATATCTCACTGCTTTGCCAAATTCACTTATTAGATCAAGTAGTTTTTTGGTGGAGTATGGAGGGTTTTCTATGTACACTATCATGTCAGGCTCTGTTCCAAATACCGAACAGTTTTGGGCACATTAGAGACATCAATTAATATTTTACTGATACTGTACACTTACCATCAATCATCTGGTCAAATGATAAAAAAAAAAAAAAAAAAGGAGAAATGTACTCCATGAAATTTTTGCCTCTTTGTAGCCATGGGAACCTGGGCAAGTCACTTAAAGTCTTTCACCCTCATTTTTTCATTTGGGAAATGGGGATAATAAATCCTACCTCGTAGGATTGATCATATGTGACGATTAAGGGAAATTATGTTATTAAAACATTTAGCACAATGTCTGGAATACCAAACAATAGAAATGCAATTTATTGAATGCTTACTTTGTACCAAGGTCTGTGCTAAGCACTTTTCAAGCACTATTGAACTTCACTGCAACCCTATATATGATAGATATTATACTCTCCCGCCATTATAGATCAGGAAACTGAAGTTTAGAGGGTTAACGAAACTTGCTCAAGGTTACATGGTCTAGTTCTTAAAATGATTTTCCTTGCAAGAACAGAAAAAAAGCAACTCAAAGTCAATCAAGAAAATTTATTGCCTCATCTAACAGACAAACTGGACATACACTAGCTTCAGACACAGTTTAGCTAGAGGATCATGCAACTGTCAGAGCAATGGCTCTTGTTCTCTGAAGTTTTTCTCAGCTCTGGCTTCACTCTTCCCTGATGATATCAAGATGGTTGTCGGCAGCTCCCAGGGTTGGGGGAAGAGTGACTCACCTCACAGCTGTTGAGACAAAGCCTTCAACACTAACTGCACCCTCTAAGGAGCACCCCAAAGCAGTCACATGGCAGGGGGTAGGATTATCCTGACTGGCCGGAGCTGAGGATGGGTACAGACAGGATCACCCAAACAGAGCTGCTGAAGACGTGGTGGGAGACATGCAACCACAGGGTTTGCTCAGTAACTGGAATAAAAACTTATTACCATTTTACCTCTTTCATTAGGCAAAGAACCAAGAATTCCCCAAAGATCTGGTTGCCTCAGATAGTTAATCTGAGCAAAAACAATGTAGCATAAGTCTCACATTAATATGATAGTAAGTTTGCATTAGCCTGTTTGCTTCACCACTTACAAGACATATTTTTCCCCGGCCTGAATTATCTTGGATCCTCAAAATCAACCTATGAGGTTGGAGGGAGAAGTGCTATTGACTCCTAGAGGAGAAAACTAAAGCTTGGAGGAATTAGGCACATTCTCCAAGTGTGCTCTTCAAGTAAGTGGCAGCACTGGGGTCGCAAGGAGAGGACTCACTGATTCATAATCCAGTGCTCTGTCAGCAATACTGCGTTCTTTGGAGAGGGAAGTATTGTCTCCATTTTTTGGCTGGAAACTGAAGCGCAGATATTAAGCAACTGTGTACCCAGCACTGCTCAGCACATAATGGTACACCTGAGAATCAGGCCCTTGTCTCTGACTCCAAGGTCTGTGCTCTTCGTCCGTTTACTGCCACTTCATTTGGCAAATCTCATAAAGGGAGTGGGAATGAAAAGTGTTCATTTCCCTTCACCCCTCAGTTGTAAACAGCTGGGCCAATGGCCTCTGTTCCCTTATTTAAAAGCACTCATTTTAATACTCTGACAGGTGGTAAAAATTTCCATTTAAGTATGTTCATATGCATGAAGGATAAAATTCCTGTTTATCATCTCTTAATGTGTTCTGTTAGGCCCTAGAGAGTTCCTTAATCTGTGGTAAGAAATACCTGCTACTTCCTTACTGGCAAGAAAACCCTATTGGTATTCTATCACTACACCTTGCCCCTTAACTTCCACCAGAAAACCAATAGTTCTCACAGGTAGCCCAATGGCTCCCAACCTTTAACCCCCAAGGACTCCTTTTACAGTACCTGGCTCTGTGTGCATGGACTTTTACCCCATAACATTTCTCTGCCCTGAGAATTTGGAGTAGACTTAGGAGCAGGCGCTCAGAAGCGTGGTTTCTTGCTGTGCTGGCTTTTAGGAGTTGAGCGAGTTAGGCACTGGGGCATAAGTCGCTGTGTGATCCTGCTTGCAGTTCTCAGAATTTCTGTGATATCATCAAAGACCAATCAGGACCTCTGATCGTTATGTGATCTTGGATGTTACCAAAATTTCAGCCAAAAGAAAAATTTGTGATTTTAATTAATCTGGGTAGCCTAATTGTGTGAGAGAAAATATAAAATTTTTAGTTAGGCTCTTTGAGCTGTTAAGCATATCTGGCAGATTCCCAATACCATCGTTATAGACCATAAGGGCCCTGGGGCCTCATCCTATGCAGCATGAGTCTAAAATCAGATTTGCCTTATTTCTTCTTCAGAATATAAAAGAAAGTAAAACTTAGATGCATTAATTTTGACCAATGTATCAAAGTATAACCATATTTTTGTAGGTCAGGGACGATGGATGTTCTACTTAAGGGTTCTATTATTCTGTATTTAAGGATATGTTTTAAAAAGGAACTTATTTTGGCACAGAAAAAAAGTGGGTTGAATTTAATTTTTCCCACAACTATGCCCCTCTGATATTATAGTAGCCTTGAGAGAATCAAGGGCAGCGTGACCAGTCTTACTCTTTTCTTTGGCAATGTTGGATGGTAACATTTGCCCTGCTTCCCTCCCAGGAT